CCCCCACAGCCTGCGCCAGCCTCGCTCCAGGCCTCAGCCTCTCTCTGTCTCTTCCTTTTCAGGACTCTGGACCCAACAAGGTAAGTGGCTTCCTTCAGCCCTGGGGCGGGGGCTGGAGGCTGGTGGTGGCGTCTGCACTGCATTGGCGCCCTGTGGTGAGGGGCGGGGTGGGCAGTGAGTGCGCTGGGAGATGGGCGACATGGGGGTGGATCCCGGGAAGGAAGAAAACAAGTGTGGGAGGCCCCATGAGGTGCCTTGTCTGCGTGGACACAGGGCGTCTGGGGTGGCCTCATGGCAGGGCCTGGGACAGAGACTGCTGGGAGACACTGAGGTGGGAAAGGGTGGCCTGGGGGGCGTGGGGGCCCTGGGATGAGCTGAGAGGGGCGCGGAGGAGCCTCTCGGGCATGGAGGGAGCTGGGGAGCCATGAGAGGAAGAGGGTGACAGGCGTGCTAGACTCTGAGCAGCCATAGGTGTGACGGGGCCAGGGCGGGGAGACGAGCATGTGTGGAGTGGGTGGTGCCACGGAGGGTGCCATGTGTGAAGCTGCCTGGGGCGAGGCTGGGGACTGTGTGAGGAACTGCGTGGGCAGCCGTGAAACCGTTCGAGGGACCGGGCAGGAACGGAGTGAGCCAGCGTGGGAATGTGTGAGACAGGGTTAGCGGGCGCCACTGTGAGGAGTCGCGACGTGCTCACTGGGAAACGCACTGGGAACTTGGCAGTGGCTCCCTGGGGACAGAGAACTGTGTGAATTGTGAAGAGCTGTGTGGGCCTGTGTGAGGAGTTCCAAGAGACTAAGAACACATGTGAGGCTGTATGAAGAACTGTGAGAAGGTGTGGGAACTGAGTGGGGAACTGTGGAAAATGGTGTGGGGGACCCGAGTGGGAGCCAGGTGAGGAACTGAGGGCCGTATGGGGAACTGCGTGAGGAACTGTGTGGGAACGGGAGAGGAAGCGTGTGGGAAACGGCATGAGACACTGCGTGGGACTGTGTGAGACTGAGAACCTGTGTGGGGAATTGCATGTAGAGTGGAGTGAACTGTGAGAAGAACTGTGATAACCATGTGGAACTGTGAGGGAATGGCGTGGAGTGGCGTGGAGCAGCATGGGGAGGGAGGAGAGAACGATCCGCTGTGCAGATTGTGCGGGACTGTGAGGAACTGTGTGGAACTGCTTGTGGAGTTGTGTGTGGAACTGTGTGTGGAACAGTGTGTGTGGAGCTGTGTGTGTGGAACTGTGTGTGGAACTGTGTGTGTGGAACTGTGTGTGTGGAGCTGTGTGTGTGGAGTTGTGTGTGTGGAGCTGTGTGTGGGGA